TCCTCTGGAAACCGAAACCCAGTCGGTTTTTGTTTTCCAATTTTCATATCTTTCGATCCGTAGATCGGATCAATATGATTCCTTCGGCAACGTTCTAGATCGTGTTACAGGCTACGTCCTAGTATTCTTTTTATAATTTTTTTCTTGACTATCGGAGGATTTAAGAACGCCGGAAGTTCGCTCACCGTTCTCGGATGACCCTCGGATCTCTGCCTTTGGGTTGAGGTCTCGGCCAAACTTCTTCACAGACCGTGCGTGAGTTGTTCCTAGGTGAAGATTTCAACATTTTAGGGTCGATTCACGTAGGGAAAAACTCAGATCTGAGCAATATCGTTCAGAAACCTTACCCCGCGACATGTTCTTAGGCTTTGATGGTGCGTAGGCCTTGATAGCCCCTCAATCCTGGTACGAGCCTCGTCTGGAGATGGATTCTGGCAGTGGTCCGTTAATCTTCCCGGCCAACCTCTCTCTAATCTCTTCTTTCTTTTGCAGGCAATCTGGTTGGATTCTCCTTGGACCCCTATTTGGGTTGGAGGGGCAAAATGACATTTTTGCCCCTCAGTTGACTTAGCCCCCTCTTTTTTTTTCTTTTTTTTTTTTTTTTTTGCGTTACAGACAATCTTGAAGAGAGTATCTATATGGCTCAACCAGAGGGGTTCATTGAATCGGATCACGAGCAAAGGGTTTTCAAGCTTAAAAGATCCATTTATGGGTTGAAGCCAGCATCTCGATCTTGGAATATAAAGTTTTACTGCGATCAAATCTTATGAGTTTAAATAGAATGTTGACGAACCTTGTGTTTATAAAAGGATAGTCAACTCTACAGTAGCTTTCCTAATGTTGTACGTTGACGATATCCTACTCATTGAGAATGATGTGGGATTTCTGACTGACATTAAGCATTGGCTAGCGACATAATGTCAGACACACTCATACAAGAAAGAGACAACACTCAGAAAAAATAAGCCAAAACAAACTTCATTGTCCTCTTCAACTTGGTGCACTGTACATATGTAGACAGAAAAAAAAAACTAATAACTGCTAATAACCTACACTAACTTCCCAGCAACAACTGCTAATAACTTCCCTTGCTGTTATCCACAGATACTAAAACTGTAATACAAGATTAAACAAACTAACAAATCATCCCCTTAATCTTGTATTTCGATCTTCACATTTTTACATTCTTCAAACAAATTCTTTCAGTAAACGTCCTAACCTTATTCCTTGACAAACAATTGACGTCGCCGCAATATACTCCGCTTCATGGGATGAAAGATGGAAAGTGCCACCATCTTTTATTTCTTTGAAGTCCATGTAATTGGATTCCCATGCAATTGTTTCTTTCTACTTGCTTTGCCTTCACATAATGACATCCAATATTAATAGTTCCTTTCACCAGTTTGATTACTTGTTCAACGCTGCCGCTACTACCATTATCACCGCCTTTCTTCTTCTCTATCTTCGTTTCAATGGGCAACTGCTTTTCATTGACAGTTTTAATTACTTATTCTACTTGTCCGGCCAACGGCTTTTCTTCAACAGGTTTAATTACCTGTGCTACTTCAATTGCACTGTCGAAAACAATGACCTCCTTCTCCTTCTCCTTCTCTGCTTTTTTTTCTCCAGCGACCTGTTTTTCAATAGCACCGCCATAGTTTCCATCCTCCTTCTCCTTCTTCTCGCCGTCATAGTCCTTCTCTTTAATCTCCTTTGCTTTTGCTACCTCCGTTGCCACATTCTGGACCTCCGCAACAGCACCATCGCTCTTCTTCTCTTCTCGCTTATGTGTTTTTTTCTCCGATTCAATCTTCATACCTCCACATCCTTTTATCTCTACAAGTGATCCATCTCCGAACTTCACCATGCCGGTCACTGACTCGTTCAATTTCGAGAACCAACTTCGACAACCAGTCATATGATTGCTGGCTCCCGTATCTAGGAACCAAGTGTTGCTTTTCTTCTCAATTTCTTCCAGGACAACCTTCTCTTCATAAAGAGTCATCTCCGTCAACTCTGGTGAATCGAGAGTTCGGACTTCACAAACTTGTGCTGTAAGAAAGGCTGGCTCATCCTCATCACTTTGCGTCTCAATTAAGTGCGCCTGATTCTCCCTTTTCTTCGATCTACAGTGGGATGCATAATGATCCTCCCTTTTCTTTCATCTACAGTCAGATGCATAATGGCCAATTTTTTGACAATTATAATGTTAAATAAAAGCTATGTTCCTTATTTAGTTAGGTTGTTTTTACATCTGAAAACTTCTGAATTAACGCCAATGGAAGAGCGTAATTCTAGTTGCCCATTTTTTTCCCAACTTGGGCAAAGTCTTCGCCCACTTTTCTATTTTTGTGTAATTAGTTTTTCTATTTTTGTAATTAGATTTGTTATTTGAACAATTCAACTTGAAGAGAAATAAAACATCGAGTCTTCAGCAAATCTCAAATCTCTCTCCCTCTCTCCTTTTACTTCGCTATTTTTTCTTTTCAAGAAACCTTCGGCCAGTTTTTCGTCGACATTTTCCTCCGAATTGCCAGAGTCGACATATAACACTTCACCTTCCGACATTCTGAGGCATAGTGGCCTAGGCCTTGACAATTGTAGCATCTTACCTTGCTCTTGTCAGCCTTCTTCTCTTGATGAAACGAGTCGTTTCCACGTCCATGACTCTCCCTCTCTAGCGACCACTGCGACCTCGCCCTCGGATATGGCCTCCATTGTCGCTACATTTTTTCTCTTTCCATTCTCCTTGGGTCAATAAGACATGCTCAGCATTCTCTTTGTTGCCACCGATCCATTCTTTGTATGCTTTAAGACGACCGATGACTTCCTCCATGGTCATCACCTTTAAATCGATAAATTGCACTATTGCCGATGCGATATGAAGAAACTTAGGAGGTACTGAGCGGAGAAATTTTTTCACCAAGTATGCCTCTTCAACTTGTCTCTAAAAGTACGTATTTTATTAACAACTTCTGTCAACCTTGCTGCATAATCATCAATGGTCTCGGACTCCTTCATATTCATAATTTCGAACTCAATCTTCAGAGTTTGGATCTTTGCCTCCTTTACACGTTCAGCACCGACATGAATAGTTTTTAACGTCTGCCATGCTTCTCTTGCTGTCTCTTTCTCTACTAACAAAAACAACATCTCCTCAGGGATTGCATGATATATAGCTGCTAAGGCCATTTGATCCTTCCTTTCATCAAGACTATCCAGAGACTCAGTTGATTCGATTGTGTCCCACACCCCTTAAGCACGCAAATAGACCTTCATCTTCATAGCCCATGCTGAGTAGTTGGTTCTTAAGAACGTCGGGTATTGGAGTGATACCAGACTTTCTTTTGTTGCAGAATTCGACGATTCTCCTCTCTCTCCAGTGTTGTTATTATTTCTCGGCATGATTTTTGGCATGTAACCAAGCTCTGATACCAAATGTCAGACACACTCATACAAGAAAGAGACAACACTCAGAAAAAATAAGCAAAAACAAACTTCATTGTTCTTTTCAACTTGCTGCACTATACATATGTAGACAGAAAAAAAACTAAATAACTGCTAATAACCTACACTTACTTCCCAGCAACAACTGCTAATAACTTCCCTTGCTATTATCCACAAATACTAAAACTATAATACAAGATTAAACAAACTAACACACAATTCCAAATGAAAGATTTGGGAGAGGCTCAGTTTGTTCTTGGAATCCAAATTGTTCGGAATCGCAAGAACAAAACACTAGCATTGTCTCAGGTATCGTACATCGACAAAATATTGATTCGATATAAGATGTAGGACTCCAAGAAAGGATTTTTATCTTTCAGGCACGGAGTTCATTTGTCGAAGGAACAAAGTCCTAAGACACCTCAAGAAGTTGAGGATATGAGACACATTCCCTATGTGTCAGCAGTCGGTAGTCTGATGTATGCCATGTTATGTTCCCGACCCGACATATGCTATGCTGTGGGAATTGTCAGCAAATATCAGTCCAATTCGGGACGTGATCATTGGACTGCCATTAATAATATCTTCAAGTATCTTAGGAGAGCAAGGGACTATATGCTAATGTACGGTGCTAAGGATCTAATCCTTACAGGGTACACTGACTCAAATTTTCAGACCGATGTACATTTGAGGAAATCGACATTAGGATCTGTCTTCACTCTGAACGGAGGAGCAATAAGATGGAGAAGTATAAAGCAAGGTTGCATTGTTGATTCCACCATGGACGCTGAGTATGTTGCTACTTGTGAAGCAGCAAAAGAATCTGTATGGCTTAGGAAGTTCTTAACTTATTCGGAAATGGTTCCAAATATGCATCTTCCTGTCACTCTTTATTGTGATAACAGTGGAGCAGTTGCAAATTCAAAGAACCAAGAAGCCATAAGCGAGGAAAATATATTGAGCGCAAATATCATCTCATAAGGGAGATTGTGCAACGAGGAGATGGGATCGTCACACAGATAGCTTCAGAGCACAACATTGCTGATCCATTTACAAAGCCCTTCATGGCTAAAGTGTTTGAAGGGCACCTAGTGAGTCTAGGACTACGAGTTATGTAATCTAGGGCAAGTGGGAGAAAAGGCATGAGTATGTGATGCCCTAGTTTATGGTATTTATGTCTTTCTCTCTATTCAACGTTATAAAACCCCACTAGAGTTTTAGTCTAAGTGAGAGTTTGTTGGGTTTTATGTCCTAAAACTCATAGTTTGTAAACAAAAACATATTCTATAGGGGCGTCCTATGCAATGAGTATTGCATTAAATCGGACCATGAAGAAAATCACTCTCACTTTATAATGTCATTTACTATTGAGACTGATTTTCTTTTCATTCGATGACCTAGGTAACTCGATCTTAATCCTTAGCTAACCATGAACTCCTGTTTATTCGGAATTATCCTTAGATTTGCATGGGTGAGAGTGGCTCGTGTTCGCCGACTCAATAGGCCTCCCATTTCAAGGGAAAGACTGGGTGAATGGCTGGGGACGTGGGGTGCAAGATGGAATTCACTCCTACCCACTTTTAGGGATAGAAGAGAGGTAGTTCCCTTAAGCACTGACTCCAGGTCTTGAACAAGGGGCCCCACCCTCTCATTGGCCTGAGAGGGATTCGATTTACTTGTTGGACCACAAACCAATTGTTCATAAGAGGATTAGTGGGACATAAGGAACTAGAAGTAACTTCAGGGGTAAAACGGTAAATTGATCCAGCTCTAGTTATGAACAACCTGTGAAGGATCGACTTACTAATCATGGTTATATCAAATGGACAGAAATATATCTATAGTGAGGGGAGTGCAACTACTAGGCCATAGTGGAGTGTCCTAGTAGTTAACGA